TCAAACTTTTATACATTATTTAAAACCAAAACATATTTTGGGTTTGGGATTGCAATAATATTTTTTTTGGCGAATGAATATTGTATTAACAATATTTGTAGAAAAATTTCAATTTTCAAATACAAGTTTTACTATTTAACCCATAGCTAGGACGGAGACAAGATGGATCTATACTTTTCCCAAGGGTATCTGCATGTGAATGAATATAACGAACCTAACAGCAATTCAAACTGAACTTAGCTCTCTGATGAGTCGTTAACCATTACCCCACCCACACATCCAAGCTCACAGCCCCTGGTATTCCCAATTAATGACCCTTCTAGCTACTGGCCAGGCTTGACATTGCTTAACTTCAAGGATCAGACATGAACCAATGTTTCAACGTAATATGAGTGTAAGCCCCCGAATCCATAGTAATAAAATTAATATTTTAATAAACTAGATTATATGATTTAAGTAATATTTCAAAAAAGTATTATTTTATCAATTTTCAACATCAGAAAGTGACAGCTGAAATTTCTAGGGCATATAAAGAGAAAAGAGAGCTTAGAAAATTTGACACTCACAGGGTGTATTGAAGGCAAAAGGGATAGTGGAAAGTAGCACATAACCTACCTCACAAGATTGTATAAATGAATGGCTGGATAAGGATTAAGAGATATAGCAAAAGATAAATTTTACAAAGTACTGGAAGCTGTGGAGAACCATGATCGCCTATGTCCTGATAGGGCACAGCACATAGAAGAAGAGCTGAAGTAGATAGAAGAAGAACCTAGATTAGGAATGACTGTAAAACACTTTCTCCATCCCAATTTATAAGCAGAAGCACACAATTGCATGCTGGGATTTCTTCCTAGCCAATAAAATAGGCCGGTTCTTGGTTTCATATGACTCAGTCCTGGTCTGTCTTGCCTTGAAGTCAGAATGCTATGTTCGCTTGTCTGAACTTGCTCTTGCGTGTCAACCCCAATTTTTAGTTTATGAACTTTTTGCTTTATTACTGTTGTTTTGCCTTATTACTGTTTTTTTGCCTTACATATATTGTTTGCTTGCTTTATATTATTTTTGCCATGTTCTTTGCTTTTCTTTTTCTTGCTTATTAGGAATGTTGTCAATTCTGTTTATTGGACACTTCTGTCATTTATTTACATTTAACATTGGCCATTCACTCTACAAGATCTGTTACACTAACCACACATTCTCCCAATATTTTATTACAACCAAGTTATAAATTGATCCCCCATTTCTGAGTATCTATACAGAAGTAATAAGATGCAGAATAGGTTCAGGGTTTAATCCTTTATTTCAGCCATAAAATATTTTAGATATTTTGTCTGAGCAGGTAAAATGGTAAAGACATGTCATAAGGGCCAAGAAGGTAAACGAAGAGGTGGCAGACAGAGAAGGGGAAATGGTATGACAATGTCACTGAGTAAACCAGATCATTTACACAAACTCAGACAACTGAGACATAAAAAAGGAGCTTCACAGTGACCCTATGACCTCACTCAGTTATTATGGGATGGATGATGACTGAGCAGAGATACTGAAAATGACAACCCAAAACAACATATTTGATGAACAAGAAACAAAGTTTGGTTGATCTGGTTAAAAGCTTAACCCTTTGAGCCTTGTGTTCCTGAACAATTTTAACCCTTCTGCCTTCTGAGCTCCTGAGTCAAAATTCATAAATAATTGGTATGTAATGTTTCACCGTAGATATAAAAATAGATACAAGTGTTTATCCACTGTTCAACTGGTAGCTGGGTATTAAGAAATTTTTCTCTACCATTGTTCAACCAGTGGCTGGGTATTACATCATTTTTCTCTACCACCAGTAATGTGGTGGTCAGGGCTCAAATAGTTAATGTTTATTCACATTAAACATGTTCTTTGTGGGTGCACCACCATAAAGTAATAGTTAAGAAACTTGTCTAACAGATCATCATTATCATATAGGCAGTTTGATCTGCACTGGATGCCCTATGTATGTGGCATTGTACCAGATTAAATAAATAACTATAATTATTATTTTTAACTTCTTTATCATTTATTGTATTATTTTAGGTGACCCACACCTTTGTCCATTTTTTTTTATTTTATTAAGTAGCTGAGATCTGAAATAAAGAAATGGCTCCAAGCAGGATTTGAACAAAATTTTTATCTGCGATCTATGTTGCATACTTAACAGATAAAATACTGCAACAAAAATAAGATGAAAGATAAACTAGCCCAAAATAAATAAGTGCTGGCTGGACCAGTAGAAATTCCAGGTGTGTTAGCAACTAAGTTTATCTATTATCTCAGGCTCTTCTCTTACTCATTGCCTGTATCTTCACATTCTCCCCCTTATCATTTCCAATACAACTAACATCATCCATTATTTCATGCCAATGCTCTTTTCTCACACTTTATCTGTATCTTCTTATTCTCTCCCTTATCCCTTCCAATACAGCTAAATTTATCTATTATCTCATGACTTGGGCTCTTCTCTCAATATATAGATAACAATTTTTATACTTTTCCCTCCCTACTTGTTTTTCACAAACTTTGACTCATTGTCTCTTGATATCAAACCCGCAAACTTTTCTAGATTATTCTTTCTATAAGTCAAAATGGCACTAGAAACACAGTGTGCTCAGTGCAAGTTTGTATATCAAATATATACACAAACAGAGCAAACATAAAATATATATGGAAAAAAACAGTACTTAAATGTCACTGATGTCTGCAACTAAAAATTTCATGTGGACATAAATGTGGTTAACATTACTATCACACAATCATCAGATAAGTAAAAAAAAAAAGCAAATATAACACTCATTAAATGAGAAAATGTCAGGTGTGTAAGTGAAAAGGGTAAAAAATTCACGTCGCAACTCATAATGCATAACAACCTTCTTCATCCATGAATAGTCAGGAGTCTCATCTGCTGCCCAAAGTAGCATTCTTTTATTGGGCTGTGATTGGTGGAGACCGATAGAGAAGCAGAAACAATTTTGTGGCCTGTTAAAGTCAACCTGATCTTGATTTTCTTTTTCAAAAGATAGCACAGAGAATACAAATTCTTTTTTGAGGTAAGACTTGGTTTTCTTCATTGCTACAATGTTTCATCAAAGAAATTCAGGCAACTTCCTAACTCTTTATGCTTTGATATGCATAGTATTTTATCGTTTGTTTTAATTTCTTGAGCAAAATTAGGCAGGTGGTAGGGGACTTATTAAATTTGAATTAATAAGCTGCAGGGGAGCGCCAACAAGAAACTCATGGCACCATCAAATTGGTTTTTATAACCATCTCATTCTGAGAGATGTCTTCTTTTTGGAAGGCAGTGGGCAGTAGAGACTGAAATCGCTAGAAAGGTTTTTCTGTATTCTCTTTTGTTGATAAAATCTACAGAATCTACAACTACTTCTAGAGTGCTTTGAGGTAAGGTAATGGTTAACAAGCTAGGTGAGCATAACTCAGTAGTCAGTTTAATCCTTACTGGATGCCATATATTCATGGTGCATCCTGGGTATGATGATAAACTACATCTGCGTCCTGGGTAAGACGATAAACTACGTCCAACAGCAAGGCCTCTGATCAGGAGGTTTCAAGGAGCATGAAACCACCTCTTAATTGCTGATGTTCCCCGGTCCACCCTGACTCGGGGTGGTAGCACCTGTTAGGGGTCTCAGCTACGGGCAAATAGTTAACCCCCAAACTCTACTCAAAACACTATGAAAGTGTAAAAATAGGTTTTAATACAAGAAATAGTTTGTAAAAAAAAAAAAAATATTGTTACTCACAAAACAATTTTTGCAAAAAGATATTACCAGTGAAGGAAAATTCTTACTGGAAATACATTTTTGAAGGAAAAAATATTACCAGAAATAGATTTTTGGAAAGATATTACCAACAATGAAAATTTTGTCGGCATTAAATAACCCATTGAAGTTGATATGCCATAAAACAAAACAAACAAGCAAATATATTCGTGGTCTTGTGACAAACTAAGCTAAAATGTTACAACTATATGTACTAAATCACTGATCTTTGGTTTTTTTTTTGCTTCACTTTTCCAAAAAATTTTACATTACAACACGGAACTGTCTTCAAACAAGACTAGATTTCCTCATATCTACCTAACATTTCCAGCTCGAATCCCAGAAATACCATCATGTCATATTTACAAGAATTTTCTTTATTACCATTTCATTAGAAAATAATTCATTGAATCAGGAATGTTTCACCTCAGAGCTTTCCAGAGAGCAGGTTACTTGAAATGCAGGGGTCAAAAGACATAGAATATCAGTTGATAAATTAATAGATAAAAAATAACATTTCACTTTGAGACAACTTACAAGTAAGACTGGATCATACACGAGGCAAACACAGTGATCAAAATAACAATGATGAAGATAACAGTTCAATCTAGGCATATAAAATGTCTCTACTTAATGATTGCTTACTGATGAGAAAAAGAAAAACAATACATTGGAACTGTTTTAGTTAAATTCAATTGAATTTGATTAAATAATCACTAACATTTCTCAGGACAGCTATTATTTATTCCTCACATCTTTAAATCTTTCAGCGGTGAGTATTTTTAAAGATAATTAAATTTGCGTAGCAAAATTAAAAAATGAATATGAAAGAGAAAGGATGTTGAAGAGGAAATTTTATCCGGTGAAGGGAAAGCAACCCACGAAGACTGTTAAAGGGCTAATCAAATACTTACTATGATGTAACACAAAAACAGACATACAAGGTACTCCATACATTTAATTAAATAAAGATACGTATACAACATATGTTACAGGCAATGACGCAATAAAAGTTAAAAAAAAAAAAAAAAGGAAAGTGAGAAAAATAAACAAACCAAAAAAGTCGTTATGTAGCAATCTGAATTAAATATCCCAAAAGGCTATCAAACAATTTGCCAATTACTGTAAAGCAATGTAAATAATCAATAATTACATGAAACAGATCACATTCGTTCGTATCAATGGCAGTGTTTAGTGTGCAAGAAATGTGGAAGGAAAATGACGGGGGTGGAGGGAGTCGAAGTAAAGAGGAAAGAGAAGTGGGCGGGAAGAGAAAGAAAGACAAAGACATGGCTCATGGCGACACCCACACTTTTTAGCTGAATGTCCCCACCCGACAAATCTAACGGTGTTTTACATTCATTTTTTTTTTTTTTCTTCCCCAGTTCAGCAAGAAAGATAACTCCAAAATGTTGACAATAGTTACATTAGAATTGGGGGTGGGGATTCAGGATTGGAAAGGGAGGGATAGAGAGAGAGAGAGAGTTTTTCTTCCTACTTCGAACTGTTGTGGGCTGAGAAAATATTGATCGTTCAAGCTAGACTTTATAGATTTCTGGCATTCGTCTAAACTTCATTTTTTTTTTTTTGATTGCTACTTTTTTCTTTATAAATCTCATTTTTTTCTTGATACTTTTATTTTTTTTAATTCTGAAATTGCGCCTCGTTTCGTCCATTCCTTTATGCTTCCACCAACATCTACCATTTTTTTTTATCTGTATTTTCATCATTCTACCAATCAACCATTTAAAAACTATCAGCCACAAGTCTTTTGCTTCCACCCCTACACCACCACCAAACTCTCTCTTATCGCCTCTGAATCTCACATCCAATAATATAGGTAGCAAACTATAATAGATCAGCACAATATATCTACACGAAAGATGACAACCTACGACAGATTTTCATTTTATACAAACCACACTGGTTTATAGAGAATAATAAATAATTCTAATACATAATCATATCAATGAATAATGTTGCAACAAATTGCTTCGTTGTAATTCCTAGATAGATATCAAAGACAAATGCTACCCCATTTGCCAAACCTATACAATAAAAAATAGTTTTACATCTGAGGAAGGTTAAGATAGAAGTGAGATTTTCTCTGTATAAATAATTGAAAGAGAGGAAAAAGAGTGAGTAAGACAAGTGAAAAGCGAGGTAGAAAAAAAGAAAACAAGATGGAGAGACAAAAGAATAGAAAGAAGAAAGACAAAGGAAAGAGAGAGGAAACAAAGTGGTAGAGAGATCAAAGGAAAGAGAGAGAGAGATCAAAGAAAAGAAAGAGCAAGAAAATGGGAAGAAAAGTTGGTAGAGATAAAAGAAAAGAGAGGCAGAGAGAGAGAGAGAAGAAAGAAAAAAGAGAAGAAAGAAGAAGTAGAGAGAGAAAAAGAAAAGGTAGAAAGGGAAAAGAAGAAATGAGGTCTAGAGAGATAAGGAAAAAGCGAGGTAGGGAGTGAGAAAGAAGAGACAGAGAGTGATAAAGAGAGAAAATAGACAGAAAGAGATAGTGACAGAAACAGAGTTGCAAAGAGACAGAGAGTTAGAAAGAGAAACACAGAGAATAACAAATAGAGACAGAGAGAGAAAAGGAGACAAAGAGAGAAAGAGAGATAGCAACAGAAAGAGAGACAGAGAAAGAAAGATACCAACAGAAAAAGACAGAGAGAGATAGGGAAGAGAATGCAAAGAAAAGGAAGAAAAACAGAGAGAGTGATAGCAATGGAAAGAGAAACAGGAAGAGATATAACAACAGAAAGAGGGACACAGAGAATAACAAATAGAGACAGAGAGAGAAAAGAAGACAAAGAGAGATAGAAACAGAAAAAGAGAAAGAGAGATAGCAACAGAAAGAGAGAAAGAGAGATAGTAACAGAAAAAGAGAAAGAGAGATAGCAACAGAAAGAGAGAAAGAGAGATAGTAACAGAAAGAGAGACAGAGAGAAATAGTAACAGAAAGAGAGACAGAGAGAAATAGTAACAGAAAGAGAGACAAAGAGAAATAGTAACAGAAAGAGAGACAAAGAGAAATAGTAACAGAAAGAGAGACAGAGAAAGAGAGATACCAACAGAAAAAGACAGTGAGAGACAGGGAAGAGAATGCAAAGAAAAGGAAATATTATGATCTTTTTGTTCCTCCTTTCAACCATTTTGACTTTTCTCATTTTCTTTCACTGTATCTCTCTCTCACGATTCCTCTGTTTATATATTCTTTTACTTCTCTTTTTCTTACCTTCTCCACTCTTATTTTCAACTTTCTTTCCTTCTACTTCAAATGCCGTTCCTATTCCTTCATTTGCTTACATACAGCTGCAAACATTTTTAGCCAAGAACTTCCCCACCAACCATTTTAATGCACTTTTCTTCCTTATTTCTTTCTCTTCTGTTTTTACAAAACTCTTCACATCTTTCTTAAAATTCTTTTGTTTATTGCTATATCTTTTGCATTGATTCTTCTCTTGTAGAAAAAAACCATATATCTCCAGCATCAATGAGTTACACATATATCAAAGAAATTCACCTAGCAAAGATTTTTCTAATGCTCTAGAATCAAACATATCAATCAGAGCCATAATTATCTCTGATAATTATAAACGTATAATTATTTAATCAATTTTAAAAAAAAATTTCATGTCTCTAATTTAAAAGCTCTACTTAAAAACATCCAATCCTTATCAATAAAAACAATAAATCGACACACTGAATCAAAGAAGTGCCTTAAGGCTGGAAATAAAATGAAGAATTTATTCATTTTCAGAGTGTGATCTTTGGCAATAAAAATTGCACTATTTGAGTTTTCTCTATTGAAACTAACAGTTATATACAAACCAGTGCACAGAAGAAATAAAAACAGAGAAAACAGCATGAAAATAGATTTAATCCATTAACAGATCAAAGCATTGGTTTGTGAATTTGGTGTTATAGTAATTATGGGTTCAATCTCTGTGCTGGGTAAATGCAATAACTGAGTAATACTAAAAATAAACAAGATCAGATATCTCTCGACATGGACAGTGGGAACATAGCCAGCCATATTGAACTAGAAAAGAGAAAGAGGTGACAAAGGAAATCATAGGAAGCAGAGACAAAGGAGAGTAGAAGAGAGACAAGGAAAAGCAGAGAGGGGACAAAAGAAAGCAGAGGAGAGTTGAAAGCAGAAAAGAGACAAGGAAGAGTAGAAGAGAGACAAGGCAAGTAGAAGAAAGACAACGAAAAGCAGAGAGGGGACAAGAGAAATCAGAGGAGAGATAAGGAGAAACAGAGGAGACACAACGGAAAGTAGAGGAAAGATGAGGAAAAGCAGAGGTGAGACAACAGAAAGCAGAGGATATACAATTAAAAGCAGAGGAGAGACTGGAAAAGCAGAGCGATGAGGGAAGGATATAAAAAAATAAACAAAGCAAAGAAGAGGAACCAAGAAAGAAAATTGGGGGGGGGGGAATAGCAAAGAAAGAATAAGGAAAGTGGACAAAAAAAAACAAGAACAAAGAATGAAGTCTAATTTTGAAAAGAGAAATACTAGTTGATTATTCTAGAACATTTTAAACACCTTTCATTGCAAGCGTTTTGCAGTGATTCTTTCTCAAACAAATCTGATAAGAAGTTAATTGCAAATTGCTGGCACAAAAGCATTTTCTGAAACACAGACAAGTCAAAGCTCAAATGTCTTCATTGCACATGAGTTACATTAATTAGAAAGAGAAAAAAAAACTTACAAAAACAAAAACTAATCAATTATCTACTTTTACTGCTTGTCCTTTGTCAGCAGCCATTATCTACCTTTTTTGAATGAAAACAACTGAAATTTTTTCAAATTATCAGCAATATACTGGAGAAATTAAGAGCATCTTTTACTAAGATTTGGGGAAATTGTTTTTTAAATCATTGTCCAATAATGTCTACTGCTTATATATATTTAGCTAACTTCAATTCCTAATATCTATAAATGTATCACTGTTTACAGGACTGGAAAAAAATCCCTCTAATTTAAAAGAGATTACTGGTAAACTGAATCCCTACAAAATAACAATTTCCATGTTGGTTTGTTCCTTATTTGCAAGGATCAGGAGGAGAATTTTTGTGTGTATTGAAAACTCTACATCCAACCTGTATTGACTGTTTCAAAATGGAAACTAGCTCATACACACCAGTGTCTATTTTTTTAGACATGGTCACCTTCCCCAGAGCAAGATGTCTGACAAGCTTTAAGATTTGGCCATAATTATCTTCTCTTATCACCAACCTGTCCTAAAAGATATTTACTGATAGACTAAATTCTTAAAAAAATAACCAAAAATATTAACTTTAATCAATTTATAGAAGAATTTGTTTCATTTTATTTAATTCCATAATTAAAAAAAAATTGCCCAAATCCATGATTACTTCCAAAAATGCCACAAATAAACTTACCATGATCAATTTTTTAATATTTGTGAACAAAATTGCTAAATTCAGCTGTGTATATCAATCAAAATTTAATTGATTGCACAGTAATATACAAAATTATATAAATCACAATTCACCCTGAATTTTAACTTTTTAAAACAATTACTATACTTTTGTATCAAATGAAATAAAAATTGTGATTATATATATATATAATTAATAAATTTATGCTTAAATAAATCAAGCCTGTCTTAGTAAATATTTTCTATATACATGGATATATACATTTCTTCATGTACATACAAATATACACAGATTTGTGTGTGTATGTGCGTGTGTGTGTGTGTGTAAGTATATATATATATATATATATATATATTTGTATGTATATTGTGTATTTAGGCAGCAATCCTTCGTTTATGCATGTTTCATTAAAAATGACAGACAAGGTACTACAGTTAAGCTTCCTATTTTTCTTGTGTTCAAACAAGAACTTTCTTTTTTGGGACACAGAGTGCATAGAAACTGTCCAAATGTTCTATAGTTCTGAGCGCTTTTGGCCATACTTTTAGCCATCATCAAGGATGATTTTATTTTTCAGTTTAATTGAGTGCATGCATTATATGTATGTTTTTAGTGTTATAGAGATGTTTTATTTTCTGAACACGATTAGCACATTGTAGCCTTGTTTGTAGTTAATATTGTTAAGTGTTGGCTTTTTCTTTTTTTATTATTATTAGGGCTTCCATTATTTTTAATCTTTTTTTGCAGGTGGATGAGGTCATTATGTTTATGTTTTCTACTAGTATGTTTCGAATGGAATCTGGTAGGTTTGTGTGTGTGTTTAAATGGGTTCTAACAGAGCTCTGGTCAGATAGGTGTAACGTAAGGCATCTGAAATCATAAATAATTACATTGGTCACACAACTACATGCCTATCCAGATGCCTTATGTTACACCACAATAACAGCATACACATAATGTGTCCTCTAAAAAAGCACTTGTTGAGACACAAGAAAAATTAGATAAAAAAGCTTGTTTTAGTACCTTGTCTGTCATTTTTTAATGGAACATATATATATATATATATATATATATATATATATATATATATATATATATATATATATATATTATGAAATGGACTAAGTCCAATAATTGTTTGAATATATTTTCTGTTTATACATTATTTTTATAGATACAAATATTTAAGTAAATCCTCTGTTTATAATAAACAGTATTAACAACATTTACTGGCCTGAATGTCGGAGAAATTTACATAGAAAATATGTGCCCTCTGACAGGAATTGAACCTGTATCCTACATGGAACTGCAGTAATTCAACCTTGCTAACCAGGTGCTTCTTCTGTAGCTAAATGGTATAGCATATCAGACTATATTTTTGTTCCGTGTGGGATAAAATAGTCCAAATATGCTATGGATTAAATAGTAGCGTAAACTAGGCTATCTAGCCTTGGTAGCAGCCAGTCTAAGAGAATAAAAGCTTTGAATTCCAAATCATGGAGAATGTAATCAGGAACCACTTCAGTAAAATGAAAATATGGCAATTCCACAACTATAATTTATGGAGAGACATGAAGGAACATAGGACTAAGGCCCAAATAAATCATGGAATGACAATGACTTTTACCAAATTTATAGAAGGTTTCTAAGTAGCTGTAATTTTGCTGTTTCCTGTTGAAATCGATTGGACATATTTGCAAACCACAAATATATTTGAAGATGACATTAAAACAGGGTTCATTAGTTACATTGATTTCAGCATAAATATCAACTGATTGATCAGCATCTAATATATTCAAAATTATCATTTGGGTTGGGTTTTTGGAAACCTTCGATTTTTTTATTTCAGCATAGTCTGGGGAATTTCTTTAGATGTATACAAACTTTCTACTCAGTCTGATATCTATCTTGATAATAAAAATCATATCATGCGTATTTAGGCAAAAATTATTCCTCAAGGAAGCTCAGTGGACAAAGACGTTGATTAGATCCAGTGACTAGACCCAAAGAGTTGTGAGTTCAATACCAGGCCCCAGTTAAAGGCAAATCAGTTAAAGGAAAATGATTAAGATATCTGGAAGAGGCATGGCATGTAGAACAAGAACAATCTACCCCAGTTGACAAAATAAAGGGTTTGGTTCAAAATTCTAATCACCTGAAGAAGGCCAGAGCATACAGTAGATGAAACTTTGTGAATATGGCAATGAAGATGAGGATAACAGTCCAAATAATGCAGAAATTATTCATTGATGCTTGTTTTATTAAAAACAACAAAAAAAGGATTGTTCTTTTTTTTTTACCTTTCAGTTAACTTTTTGTGTTTATTTAGAATAGATGTTTCACTCCAATGAATATAGACATTGTTCAAATATTAGTGATTGGTACTCTTTCAACCATGCTTCTGATCATTTTCAAGATCAGGCATTATTTAGATATTTCAGTTTTTTTATGTTTTATGCTTGAAAACTAATTGGAATGACCATTATACTTTATGGTTATATAGGGATACAAATAGCAATTATCTCCTTCTGGTGGAGAAGTCACTTGGGTCATGTAAGGGCCTCTTAGTGACATCACTTCATACAGTGACAAGGATGGTCAGTCATGCAGTTTGTTTACAGCAGCCAAATTAAGTGGTTGCTTTTTTTTTTAGCTTGGGCTAAGAAGCCTGGGCTGAGGCTAAATCTGCCTCCCCCAGCAGCTTAGAAGCACCATTTCCCTTTGGGAATATATCTTTCTCAGACACAGAAACAAAATGCAGTTTGCAGTCCTCAATTTAGGAAACCCCAGAATTCACCATTTCCTGTTTGTGGAATATGCCCTCATTTGGGACATAGTGGATGAATCTGGCCCATTTGAATCTGGTGGCCTAAACACAGCTTCTCCAGACACAGGAGTATCTATATATTATATGTAAGACCCTTTCTTTTTTATTTCTCCTTACACTCTGCTTTGATGTATAGATAGATGTGATATATTGTTTTCCACATGGGACACATGTATATATATTTTGTGCATGTCTTAGTTATATAAAAGTCTCTCTAAGAACAAAGCATCTTTGTCATTCCTTTTCCTTTCAGCCATTCCATTCTGTCTATGAATTATGGTGTTATTATATCACAGATATGATAATGCCCATAATGGGGGAAATGCCAATGGGGGAATAAATCTTTCTTCCATAGTACTCTGTCATTATAGTTACATCACCATAATTACAACACATTGCTTTAAATATGTTTTATACACACTCAGAATTTATATATAGGTACTTCCAAAGAAAAGTTGAAAATTAATTTTAAAAATGAAAAATAAATCTTTCTTGAAGCTTTTATTTTAGTTTTAATTTTAAGCTAATAGATAAAATTTAACAGTTCTAATAAGCAAAATACTTTGCTCTATTTCAAAACTAATTTAAATTGATTGGAATTATTTTTTTGAAATCATTAAAATGTCTGATTTTAGCCATATTTACAATTCTCTCAACACAACATAAATTTCTTCATGAAAAAATGTTTAAAAAATAAAATTTACTTTTCTGAAACTTTATTTGAGAAAGATTTATGATTTAAAGTTTAATTAATCTGATTTGCAACAAATATTACATTTAGTTCAAAATATGGCAGAGAAGCATTTTTTAACATGGAGGTGGGTGTTTGTATGAAGTGTTGACAACTCTATTGATAGCCTGATGTTTGAGAAATTTAACTAATTTTTTTCTACAGGAGACATATGTGTAAAAGTAGCATGCTTAAATTCCTGTAGTTGAAGCACTAGAGAAAAAACACTCATCAGATCAGTTTACATGAAAGTATTTGTAGAAAAGCCATGTCACATTGGTGAGAAAGTGACTGAAGTCATAATACCTGGTCAGGATTGACCACATTATAGATCCTTCTTTGAATTTTGTCAAGAATCTTGGAATATACAGCAGGAGCAATAGACCAGATATGGCAGCAATATTCAATGCATGGACGAATGGTAGATTCTATATTTCCAAAGAAACTCCCATTTGTGAACATCCTAATATTATTGCTTCTCTTTTCATTCATTGTTGATTTTCTTTGCGTCATTTTTTAAAACTTTATTTTATTGTCAGTTTGGCAATTGCTTGGTTTTGACTCAATAAAAATTGTTTTGACAAGATTTTATATTTAAGGACATTTTTTTTTCCATTTTTCAATGTTGGAATAGAAAACTACAGAAGAAATGCTTCCTTTTTCAATGGCTGGAATATTTTCCATTGGATTATTTGAGGAAATATTTAATATGATTAATGAATAAGCTTGCATAGATTAGAAATAAATATACATCTCAAGTGTACAAATTCACATTGAATTTGATGTATACATCTTGGTTATATATTAATGTTTATTTGATAGTTATTGTTTATATCAAATTTGTCTTTATATATATATGTATATATATATATATATATATATATATATATATCTTTTTTTGAATTTGTAGGTCTGATGAATTGGATTGTGATTACGATTCCAATGTAATAAATTGTAAGCATGGAATATTAATGTTTGATCCTTTTATATTATATATATATATATATATATATATATATATATATATATATATATATTTAAGACATTTTTTATGTTTATACATTCTTTTTATACATACAAATATTCAAGTAAATGCTCTGTTTATAATAAACAGTATTAACAACATTTACCAGCCTGAATGTCTCAGAAATTTTCATAGAAAATGTGTCCTCTGACAGGAATCAAATCTGTATCCTATACGGATTTTCTATGAATATTTCTCAGACATTCAGGCCAGTAAATGTTGTTAATACTGTTTATTATAAACAGAGGATTTACTTAAATATTTGTATCTATAAAAAGAACATATAAACATAAAAAATGTCTTTAATAATTGTCAGACTTTGTCCATTTCATTATATATATAAATATATATATATATATATATATATATAATTATTTATTTAAAAATATGATTCCAACTATATATATCCTGAAAATTTGCACACCGGATCAGTTCTTTTAAATCAAATATGTGGTGCAGTTTAATTTATATTACAATGGATCATTCATACAAAAAGTAAATTTTAACAATTTTATTTCTCTTTTCTTTTCACTTCTTCCTTGTGGAACTCCCTTCTAGTTTCTTACTTCCCTGCCACCTACAATCTTCAAAAATTTAAATGCAATGTCAATCACCATTTTCCTGATGACTGTTCTTTTATTTCTCTTTCTTCACTTCTCCTCACTAAGGTATTCCCATTCACTTTCACACCCTGTAATCACCATGCATCCTAGTGGCAGTAGGCATGGAAGACCTTGACAAAGCCAAGCTAGGACCTGATTTTTCAAAATATTCAGCCCTCTACTCTACAAGAATCAACTTCTTTTCTGCTGAATTTTGGCAAAAATAAGTAAATAAATAAATGTGGTGGTTTGGGGGAGAAATAACCTTGAAGATTAAAATAAGCCCTCATATTTGTAAGAAATGGATAAAACAAGTTTTTTAGCTTCTTTCTCCTTTAAAATGTATCTCCTCACAGTTTGAGAGAGAAACAGATAAATATTTTTTTGTTTTCTCTCTTTTTTGCTTATCATACATTACCAATTTCTATTTCAGCAAGAGAAAGGGAATAAAGACAAAAGCTAAGATGCTGCAACTGAGACAAGCACAAGTGCAACTGATGCAACTGTGCACATACAATGCATTTCCTATATGAGCCTGGCTGGTTGACTGTAAGATGACACCTTGCAAGAAACAGGCCTGCCAATTTTGATGCACA